GATGTTTTGCGTGACCACATTTTATGTATTGAATTGATTTAAGGATACACACCATCATTTATTTGCCATGCGCATGGATGTAATACATTGTGCCACACATTTGTCCCTTGTAGAACATATTACATATTGCTAACAAAAATGTAGTTTCTCTATCTTGAATCGACAAATTTATGAGTCAGCGAATAAGCTAGTGGCGGATGCCGATGGAAGTGGATGGTTTTGGGATGCAACAACAGGAGGAGACCCCACCAACAACGTTGCATACCCCAACAGCATTCAACCCCAACACGGCGCACGTCGCCCCACACGACTCTTCGTTGCAGTTGTTAGATTTGGAGCAATGCTCTGCTCCTAACAGGGCACGACTGCCTTGGCTTGCTGGAACGGCCGAGGCAAGGGGAGCCATCAGCAGCGGAACAACGACAATTGCGAGAGTCTTCTTGGAACACGCCATGAAGCTCTAGGCTAGGCTTCCGTAAGTAGAGGCTACTTGGTCCCTTGATGATGCTCCTATGCTTTGTGGTTGTTCGCTTATGGAGAATTGAGTGCCCCTATGCTTGTGGGTCTTTTCTTATATAGGCTTGAGCCACAACCAAATTAACCTTGAGCAATCAATTTTATCATATTTTCCTTAAAAAATTACATATCTTGAGATTTTTACTCGTAGCACCAATATCCTCTAATATATTTTGCCCACTCAATGTTTACACCGATGGTAGCTATTTAAATCATATATTTACAATTTCTCATCTTACTTCATAAGTAAGCATATGCTGCCTAATAATGTCATATTTATTTTGATCCTTGAAAATCAAAATTTTAATGATATAGATTCTGTCGACACAGAATTTTTGTCTCCGTGCCGAGGACACACGCAGCAAGTCGGAAGGGTCCGCTCGATGGAGCAGATCCGCCTAGCTTCAGCGCAAGGGTGCTCGATCCTGCGCAATCCTCCCGAGACGTGCCAGTGAATTTGACCCTGCAATTGATAAGGAGAGAAAGCTCATCAGTAATTAAGGGTGGAACGTGCTGGTGTTGCCAGACAGTCCCGAATGTGCGGCTCTGAGAGTCGATATGAGAGGAGATCGACTAAATAGTCGATTCCAGTATATTCATAAGAATAAATCGATTAAAGCTCATGGGGTTGTATAAGAAAAATCGGTTATCATTCAAGATAAATATTATTTAAGCAAATATTAATCAATGGCAATAAGATATCAATGATGATCGGTTTATACTGAGCCAATGATTACAAGTAACCGAACTCCTTTTATATAAAGAAACAATTCAACACTACTTAACCATTTAATAAAGATAAACCTAATGAACATGTTAGATCTCATCTATCGCCATGACCAATGGGGCATGAGGTGAATCATACAGGCCGTAGAAACAACAATAGACTCGACGACCCTAACTCATTACTAATATCAGTGGGGCATGAGACAGAATCATGCAGGCCGTAATACAATAATAAGATCATGGGGGCTAACATATCTTTCAACTTATCTCTACTTCAATGATCTCGTAATGTGAACTGTTCATGAAAGCGCTCGATATCGGCTAAACAGCCGATTCAGACATAGCGCACAGTTAAGGTCATGCCTTCTCAGGAACGGATCTACCAGCTAACGATCCCCACTCCACGGTGCTAACAGTGGGGTGAGAGGCAGAATCCCACAGACCGTGATAACGGGCCATGAAATGGTTCTCGCTAACCAATAGATCTACTCAAGATCAAATATGCCTTAACCGCATGCTATGCACAATTAAGATTGATATAAAACAACCGATAAAGCATAACTCATCGTTTAAGGTGTATATTAGATCAACTTTAGATTAGCAAATGATGGGTTAAATAAGATATAAGGCCGATCTAGATCAATCTCAATCGGGCAGAGTGATATTGCTGTAATTAGATAAATAATGAAAGCAATAAGCAATATTGGTAACTTAATGAATCTACCAAAGACTGCCATCCTAAGGTAGAGCTGATAACTTGACCTTGATCTAGTTCAAGCAGTGGGGTGTGAGGCAGAATCACACAGGCCATACTTGAACTAGGCAAGAGTCGATAACTAGCCTATACTAGAGTCACAGTGGGGGTCGACCGGATCGATGCAGCCATACGAACAGAGGTATAAATCGTGACGGTACTTACAGAAAAGCAGTGGAGGTCGACCGAATCGATGCAGCTATACTCGCTGAAGAACTCACCGAGATCTACTCTACTCCTACTTCTAAGGGGTGGCCGGAGCCAAAAAAAGTAATTGACTTGTATTTGATTGATTGTATCCTTTACAATAACCGAGGTTTGATATTTATATCCGGAGTCTAAACATGAATCCTACTCGAGCACGATTTGTTACAATCTTTGGCATAAAATGAAAATATTCCTAATTTAAGATAACTTGGACTCTAATATTTCCCTTTTTGTAGAGTCCAGCATGTCTCATCCCAGCGCCGATCATAGCCTCTGTTGGCGCTATATGAAGAAAGACGATTCTTGCTGCATCAAAATCAGCTGGTTTTGATCTGCACGCAATTGATCCCTTGCTGACATGATTTTGGGAGCTCTCGAGCTTCTGAGACCCTTCTCCCAAATTCTGGTGTAAACAGATTCAGTCCATACCAATCTACCATGCATAAGCACTTATTGGCTACTAATACACCATATCAATTTTGATTACTGCTAATATTATATTGATCATAATTAACAGCACTTTAACATGATTTGAGGGTCGGGTTGGATCCAACCAGATAGTAGTTATTAGCTGCTAAAAATTAGTTGTGGTGGATCCAATAGACCTGGCTATTAGGTTAGCTAACTATTAGATGGACACCAAGCCAACAACTATTTTGTTACCTAAGCACACCAAACTAATAGCAGCTAATTATTGGTCAGTTGAGTAAAATTCCCTCCCTCCAGATCTTGGAGGTGGTTGAGGAGTTTTTACCTTAGATGAAGTCGTAGCAGGAATAATATCAATTTTGCTGCCTTTAATTTTCTCGAAAGGTTCTAGCCGATCCACTGTAAAGCACACTAGAGCATACTATAGATTAGTAACAACTCCGGCCTATGCCCTCTTCTCTAGCATCTTGCAAATCTCATTAGGAAGTTGATAGGCCAAAGGCTTCATGATGTACACGGGATTGCTTGGATCAGTCGGACCATTTTGCATACCATCGGCCATAGTAGGAGACATGTTTGCTTCCTTCCCCACCAAAGTTGATAAAAGGTGTGTTGATGCGAATTTCGGTCACACACTAGCATGGGCTTGATCGTCCGGGATGCACATGTCCAAGATACACAACGGATATAGATCTAAATGGCGAGGCCGACTGGCTTTACGGAGAGGCCGATTCAACGCTATTTCTTTGCCAAAAAGACCCACGAAGCCCTCAAGGGATGACCCATTAGGAAATTGAACAACGGGGCTGCTATAAAATTGTCAAAGCCACCTTCGATGTCGTCAGATCTCGTAGAGAGATGCGCTGGACATCAAGGGGACTGGGAGAGATTTAGGTACAGAAAAGTCAAACAGTTTAATACATTATTTTTGTCGATTGGATGGATGGATCTCTCAATAGCCCGTGATACCCTCAGTAGGAAACATATGCTACACATAGTTTTCTTGTTTCCTAGTAGATCATCGGAGGAGTTTGCAACAAGAAAACCTTGAGTTGTCATCGGGATATGATACGGAATTGTATGTTCTAGAGGTTATGATGAACTGTGAGGCATTGGTCTCATCATCGTTGTTTGAGAACTGATCAATAGCTATATCTATATGAGTCCCAACTATCGCATTATAACCCAGTGCCCTCTGTAGGAGATGCATCTCCATATATCACAATTTCAAGCACCCTAGCTATCACGGACGTGACATTTGTGCCCTATCTAGCAGTACTGGCAGTGCCAAAAGTAGAAACAAGCCCACACTGGTTAGGAGGACTAGACAATGCTAGGCTAGCAAGCCCATCCACACTACATCACACGCCAGCAAGAAGGACATCACATCCAAATGCTTGTTACCAATCATTGGGAATTGGGTTGAGAAGCCAAAAACAAGGCAGGACAAGAAATCATCAAGCGTATCGTCATAATGTGAAGTTTTGCGTGACCATGTTGTATGTATTAAATTGATTTAAGGATACACACCATCACTTATTTGCCATGTGTTGGTGGTCTTTAACGACCAAATCCAACCAGCAACTTAAGTCCAAAACAGGAGAAATTAAGCAAACTTATACACATATGCTTTTACTATTGACATAGTTCCACTTGTATTGTAAGATTACTATTTTGTAGGACCCATATTGGAATACAAGGGAATTATAGTGATAATATGCCATACATCAAAGCGCAAAGCAGATCATTTGCAACGAATGAGAAGAAGGCCCGTCCAAATGCCAATTCTGGGCCAAGCACCGGCGTAGACATGGTCTAGGCCCACCCAGCAACCGACCAGAGAAGGATGGTGGCCTGCCACCGCCTCTCGAGCTCACGTTGTTTAGGCGGTATCATTAATGCTAGGGGAGGTCTGTTACATAGGGGGTTCCATGTATAACACACCAAACCGACCACACACTAGTATAAGAAGAGGGGAGGTGCTCACCATTCAAGACACCAACATTTGGAGCTACACACCTCACCTCTCTACTTGTAATCTTTTAGCTTTTAGTAGTAGTTTGGAGCTAGGCAGGAGCTACCTTGGAGAGCTTGGCTCCTTGGAAGAAGAGCAACTTTGGTATGAATACTATGAAGAGTTCTTCCATAGCCTTGTTCTCATATTATCAATATAGTAGTGCATATGAACTAGACTATAGTTCTCATGTTATAATCTTGACATATGGACTAGCATATAGTTTGTATGTTATGATCTTAACATGTTCAACTTTATGCTTAACCATTCATACATCTTGTATGAGTAGAATTAGAGCAAAATTGAGGTGGCGGTTCATCGTGCCTTCGGGTCAGACATACATCCATAGCAACCATGCCAACAACCATCACCAAGCTAAAGAAACTGCAATACCTTCGTGCTAGTACCACCAAACCAACTGAGGAACAACCAATACCTGATACTACCGGTGCACCTGAACCTACCGAGAAACAACCAACCCCATGTACCACGGTATCATGGACATCATCTTTGTTCCGCAGACATCGACAGCTAGAGGGTGTTGAGGTGCCTACTGGGATAGACAAAATGACTGCATTGCACACCATCGGTGTTGTTAATGTCAATTCTGCTCGGGGGAGGGCCATCTTGAAAGAGGTCAAGAAGCTCACCCAATTGCGCAAGATTGAAGTGTCTGGAATCAGTAGGAACAACAACAAAGATTTCTGTTTGGCCATCTCAAGTCATGCACATTTAGAATCCTTATCGGTTAGGCTCAAGGACAATCAGGATTGCTTGTATGTCACCCTAGATGGCTACCTTCCCCCCAAGAACCTACAGAGCTTTAAACTGTATGGTCTTGCAGACAAGTTTCTAGAGTGGATCAATTAGCTTGACAATCTCAGGAAGTTAGTTTTGGAGATGACTATATTAACCAAAGATACTATTAGTGGACTCAGGGATCTTAAAGAATCTATTCTACATCTCATTGCCAAGCAGCTTCCTGATGGTAAGCTCAATTTTTGTGTCATGTTGAATGGACAGCAATTACGCTGCTATGGTAGAGAAATGGGTTGTAGTCCCGATTGGGAGCTGGCTTTAGTCCCGGTTTCTGAACCGGGACTATGAATCCAGGACTAAAGGTCCTGGCCTTTAGTTCTGGATCACATAACCGGGACTAAAGGTCTATCCTCAAGAGAAAAATAAACGAAATTGTAGGAAGACCTCTCTTGCGATGTGTGAGATTCGAACCCAGGACCTCTTTCCTCGCGCATAAACTCCTGACCAATTCAGCTGTACACCACATGTGACAGGGTCCTGGACACTCTCCTTTTGAATTGACCTATGGGGTACCTTTAGTCCCGGGTGGGAGACCTTTAATCTGGGTTGGTGACACCAACCGGGACTAAAAGGTCACCCTTTAGTCTCGGTTGGTATTACCAACCGGGACTAAAGGTTGAAGGTGTTAGGAGTATGCCCTAGAGATAATCATAGAGATGATTATATTGCATTGTATCCATGATATATTATGAGTTCATTGAATTTCCATTAAAGACAACCTGTATCGATTAGCAATTATGTGAATTGTTTGTGAAACTCTTTTACTTGAATGGTTATTCTAATGTTGTCCCTGGTCAGAGTTCGTGTGTGAACACACATGAATAATGAATCAGCATATTATTAGTTGATGACTATGTTTCACAAGTCATAGACATAGAGATGTCAAACTAATAATGTGGGCACATGTATGACATGGGGCTGGACTGACCCAACGTGAGATGTCGTTATTATCTCTATTCACATCATGTACGTTATGTCCTTAGACCTAAGATTGTTGTATGTATTCAAGATGTGAAACGACCTACTCAGGGACTATCAAACGCTACTCCGTAACAGGGTAGTTATAAAGGTGGTTTTCGGGTTTGTCGAGAAACATACTTTGAGACATAGACATTCAAGATGGAATTTGCCCCTCTCTATATATGAGAGAGATATCACTGGATCACTCTAATGATTAGATCAAGAAATGCATGGTCGTGCTTGGGTTAAGTGTTAACCTATGAGTTGGACCAAATATTGTGTGGCAAGGGAATAACAAGTATGTGGTTTTGTGGTGGTTCGTCTGATATGATCTTTGCATACGCATAGGAGTTGACATGCCTTGCTAGACGCCGCTATCAACTAATGGCCGAGTAGGAGTACTCGGGCCATGTCTATGTGTGGGTGGACCCATAGGGTCGCACGCTTAAGGGGCTGGAAGCCTAGTTCGGATTGGATCCGAATTAGACAAGGCTTAGGGTTACTAATGGGCCTCCAACTCGAGAGCACATTAGGGACGCCTATAAATATGTGGGGTGGGGCAACGGGGCAAATCAATCCACGCCTTTTGGCAGCCGCCGCCTCCTATCCTACGCCCGCACCTGCTACTCCTCGCGGACCTAGCAGTCTGGAGGCGCAACGCTTCCTCCCTGTACGTGTGGATACCTCGAAGGTGCTCCATCTGGAGCACAAGGACGAACCGTACGAAGGGGACGGACGGACGGACGACCTCGCAACTGCACGGCACTGCTACGACGCGTTCGACTACATCGAGTCGCTTCCGCTGCACCTACGCGTCTAGTGGTAATCCCGTGATCTATAACTAGCAGTAGATCTTGGTTTATGAGGTCGAAATTTTTGTTTTCCGGCTAGCGTAGCATCCTCATAACCCAACAGAAGGACCTTTAGTCCGGGTTGGTAACACCAACCGGGACTAAAGGTGGCCTGCTGCGAAAGCGTGCCAGGACAGGGGCCTTTAGTCTCTGTTAGTAGCTCCAACCGGGACTAATTCTTCCTTTACTCCCGGTCGCAAAAAATACCGAGACTAAAGCCCAAAATCGAAGCGGATGAAAGGTCATTTCTCTACTAGTGGAAACAGTGAAGGTACTCGAGATTTCTTGTAGCTCCAGCTTAGATGTGACTTTTGGATCACAAGCACTGCACAATCTTGAGCTGTTGAAAGTTTCCTGCTGTAGTGGTTCAGGGTTGGTAATGAAGTTCTCTGGGCTAGAAAAACTGTCTGAATCTGAACTCAAGGAAGTCCAGATTAAGGGTGCTTATGATGCCACACTCAAAAAAGACGTGGAGGGACAACTTGCCGGGCATCCAAAGAAACCTATTTTAAAGATGGAATAAGTACTTTCGTCTACTGATGGATTCTGAGCTTCCTGTCATAACGATATTAAGGATTAGTGACTGGTGCTGTTCGCTTCCTCTTATTTCTTCACTGCTGCTTGATCCAGTCTAACCAATTAGAAAGATCGGTTAGGCAACCATCGTGCCAATGGTGAAACCTGAAAGCTTCCTGCTTCGCCACATACTGATCAGTCTATTCATTCTTCTTGTGCATGTCGCATCAGCATTCAGTAGTGGCCATGACATGCGTAGCTGAATTCAGCTTGGTTTAATTATTCCTAGCGCATAGTCCCAGTTTGGATTTATTCTAAAAGATACCCATGGTGTGCAAATGTGTTTATAATTATATATATATAAAGATTGGACCAGTCAATTTGTGTTGTACTTCTATTGCTGTCCTGTATTGTAGTTTCGTGGTGTATCTTGCTATTGCATCCATGTTCTGTTCTGGTTGTTTGTGTGTACATTTGTTTTGACTGGTTTTCGCTATGATATATACATCCTATTAGTAGCTGTATTGTATTTCTGCTTTCCTGATATTGATCTGGGTTCCTACAGTTTTTGATGGGCCGCTGATTGCTGGCAGGGATCATATTCCATGGTACTATAGTGCATACAACTGTAGAAATGATTATGATGTTGCACTTGAAGTCAAATTTAAGCATGCTCAAAAAGAAAAATAATACGGTGACCAGGGTGAATTCAAACAACATGGTCCAAACTTCAAGCTGATTCATCTCTTTGGAGATATGTGAGCCATGGAGATGTTATAGTGCAGTCCATCATCAAAAGAGCTAGGAGAAATACCATCACTTACTTGCAGAACCCTGATGGCTCCTATTGTACCACTCAACAGCAGCTAGCCCAAACTGCCACTGATTATTTCAAAGATCTCTTCACCAGCCAACATGTAGGGCAAAATAACAACATCTTGGGTGATGCTCAGACCGAGACACATGGTGATCAGGTAACATCTAATGACACTTTCACTAACTCTACTCCAGATTTGAAGGAAATTCATTACATACTCAAGAATATGCGCAACAACGATTCCCCTGGGCCGGACGGGTTAAATGCTGCATTTTACAAGTCCACATGGTCATGCACAGGTAAGGATTTACATGAACTAGTTCTGTCTTTCTACAGCACTGGTAATTTGCCCAGACCGATTAATGCCACGCACATTGTCTTAATCCCTAAATTAATTGTCCTGCTAATACTAGGGATTTTAGGCCAATCAGTCTTTGCAATGTTAGCTATAAAATTATTGCTAAATCTTTAGCTGACAGAATCAAAAGTCACCTTCCCCACATTATTCATCCTTCTCAATCTGCTTTTGTCCAAGGTAGGCACATTGCCTCTAATATCATTATTGCTCAAGAGATTGTTCATTCTTTCTGCCTAAAATCTTGGAATCAGAAAGCTTTTCTTCTGAAGATTGATTTAGCTAAAGCTTTTGATAGAATTGAATGGCATTTCATTGTCAGAGCTATGAGAAGACATGGGTTTCACAATCACTTTATTAACCTAGTATACCAATGTATCTCAACGACTACTCTTTCAGTCATTGTTAATGGTGAACCTTCTTCTAATTTTCATCCCCAAAGAGGTATCAGACAAGGCTGCCCTCTCTCACCCTACTTGTTTGTCTTGGCTGTCAATGAGTTATCCATCCATCAGTATGCAGTCTAATATGGACAATCTCAACATTAATGGTGTTACTTTAGGCCCTGGCTGTCCTAGAATTCATTCTTTACTTTTTGCGAATGACCTGATCATTTGTGGGCAAGCTAATGCTAGTGAAGCTAATAATATTAGATCTATCTTGTATGACTTTTGTAATGCCTCTGGCCAAACGCCTAATCTTGCTAAGTCTCATATTCTTTTCAGTAAAAATGTCGATGACAGCAGCAAAAATGAGGTTAAATCTGTTTTCCCTGTTAATGACCATGCTCCTAACTCCATTTATTTAGGTCACCCTCTCACTTTCTGCCATAAGGATAGGAACAAAGCTTATAATTTTATTCTGACCAAATTTAGAGCTAAACTTACGACTATAAAAGCCAATAAACTTAATCACGCTGGTCGTTTAGTTTATATTAACTCTGTTCTGTGCTCCATTCCCATTTACTACATGTCCACAGTTTTGTTTTCCAAAGGTTTCATTTCCAAAATTACCTCAATCATTAGGAAATTTTGGTGGGCGGGTGTTCAAGATGAAAACGAAACCAATTCCTTTCATTTTAGATCTAGGGATGATATCTGTAAACCTAAAGACAAAGGTGGCCTCGGCATTAGAGATGTTCTTAAAATCAATCAAAGCCATATTATCAATGCTGCTTGGAATATTGTTACTAATAAAAACCCCTTTTTGTCTGCCATTATCAAGTCCAAATACTATCCGAATGATTCTTTCTGGACAGCTAATAACAAAAACTCTACCAAATCCATTTTCTGGTCTTCGATTATGCAAATAAAACACATGCTTCACAAACACTGTGTGTCGGTGTTTCGAGTAAACACCAACGAGTAAATTTGTGTTATTACGTGTCTGACCCGGATGGTATGCTAAAAAGACACAAGGTTTATACTGGTTCGGGCAGAATGTCCCTACGTCTAGTTCGTGGCTGCTGCTCGTGTTATTAGCACTGAAAAGTTTATAGTAGGGGTTACAAACGGGCGAGAGAGGGATAGGTCCCAAGTCTCTGATGGAAAGA